GTGTTCTTGAGCCAGTGTTAAAAAGTTGATATAAAAGTTATTGCAAAGTATCTTAGTTTTTAAGATACAGGGTGTTAAAAATGCAAAGAAAATTTAAATTTTTATTACAACAATATTAGAAAGTGTCAAAAATAATTGAACAAATTCTTATTACTTTAAGTTAAAGGTTATTTATTTAACGTTAAAGGAAAACATGTCAATATCTAAAAGAAATGCAATGACAGAATCTTTTTTTAAATTATTGTCCATGGTGTGATTTCAACCTATATTAATCAATTAATTGTTGTGATAATTAATTTTTAGCACATTATGTTGCCAAACGCATGCCTATTGTTAAAGTAAAAATCCTAAAATGCATTTTTCATAAGATAAAATAGTAATTCCTAAGAACACCATTGTTTAAACTATTTTAATTTTAAATACTTAATGTTGACTCTTTTATATCTTTTAAAATAACGAAGGGGTGTTCCAAAACTTGCTTATATATGTATTCAGAATTGATTCTAATACATTCGTATTTGACTTTTAAAAGGTGTTAAAGCCCCACATTCATGAAATAAAATTTAAATTTATAATCTCCAAGCACCCAGAGATGTACTTTTCTTTTAAAATTACATTATATGAAAGTAGTTTCAAGAAAGCTATGGCCATTCGTAACATGTGTGAACCTTTTTACAGATGCGCAAGAAAGAAGCGATGGAAAACAAGTTTAATCTTTTAAGTGATATAATATACTAAAACCATTTAAATTTTGTTGTGCATGGTAGAATTTTTTTTTAAATATGTTCTATTTATTATATAGAAGAAATGGGTGTATAATAATTTTAAACTGCTACAGATCTACAAGTGGAAATTTATAGGTGGTTTTCGAAAAATTGGATGCGGTTATAAATTCTTCATTTAACCCAAATATTGATTTTGTTTTGTGTGGTGACTTTAACCTAGACTTTAATTCTTTATGTACCATTTTGCTGTATTTTTTAAGTCCTTTGGTAAAGTGGCCAACCTGCCCAGACAGCAGTATGACGTCTTAATTAAGTCTGCATAAGTTCTATTTTATGATTTGGACGTTAGATACAACATCAGAAAGAAGTTTTTAAGAAGTTCTTAAGACTTGAATGCGCCACCTATCGAACTAATCAGGACTTCTAAAAAAATATCTCTTGAGGAACCCTTTCTTTGACTTCGCAATTAAGCATTTTAAAGAGTCCTACTGTATAAACTTATAAAAAGACTTCTTTAGAATTTCCTGTTTTGGATATAGAAATACTACTTTATATAATATGGTACTAATGAAAAAGTTACATACTGGATCGTTGCTTATTTTCTTATATCTATAGTTTAATTACCATAGAACAAACGAATTTGTTAAATTGATTTTATTAAAATCATTTTAATAATTTGTTTGTATTCGTTTATTTTTGGAATTGCGATTATTTCGTTTCACTTTTTTTTAAATTCAACCGTGCTCTTTACAGGCACCGATAGACGGCCTGTTTCGTTTTTATGGAGCTCTTCAGTATCGGGTAGACGTTTACCTAGGTCTAAGACCGTTTGGTATGGAGCACCCTATAAATTCTACTTCGCCGCTTCTTAAATCAATCACAGGCAGTTACAGCGGTGAGAAGAAAGTAATCGCATTAAAATGTCATAAATGTGGCGTCTCCATGTTGACGTCTTAAAGAGTTAATAATATGATTTCAGTAAGAAGTAAGAAAAGAGAATACTGTAAGATTTCATATAACTGAGGTCTTATTTATGATACCCTTAGTAGCTTCTTATTTTAATTCCAATAAGAGGTCAGAAAAAAATATACTTTAAGATGTTAAAAAATTGACTTCTTATTTATGAATTCATCAAGATCTTTTAATCTTGAGCTCCTAAAAATTATTTCTCTAAGATATCATATTGAAGCCCCGGTAAGATGTTTTTCAACAGACGTACAGAAATCTTTATGAATTGGATGCTGCCTGGGCATCTCGGGTTGAGGCATCTCGTGTTGAGGCATCTCGGGTTGAGGCATCTCGCGTTGAGGAGGATTGAAGCCGTTGAACGTTGGAGCTGTTGATCGTTAAAGCAGTTGTACGTTAGAGCTGTTGAACGTTAGAGCGTTTGAACGTTAGAGCTGTTGAACGATAGAGCTATTGAACGATATAGCTGTTGAACGTTAGAGCTGTGGTTGTGGCCGTCATCCAGTGTTTGGATTATTGAGCTGTGACCGTCATCCAGCGTTTGGATGGATGGTTGGTGGTATCCAACATTGTCAACTGTCGTTGACCTTAGTGCTGGAACCAGTGTGGACCGAGGCTGTGGATATTGGCTTCCAGTACTGTCATATTGTGGCAGATCTTAGTGCTGGACATCAGTGTGGACCGTGTTGTGCACCGCAGCGTAGGGGAGTGCTATGAAGCTCGCTACGTTTGCGAATGATTGCCGTAGGCCGAGAGCTTTGGTCTTCGTCATGTTGGTAGCACTGATTTATTCTTCCACAAATACTTGCATGTTCGAATCACGTCGGGGTCACCAATAATACTTGTACTTTAATTGATCAAATTTTTATAAACTTGTTCAACCAAGGAATGTGTTCTGTTGTGGATAATGTAAATAAAAAATAAACGATTTAGCGGTCCAGACAATATTCTAATGGTCCTGGTCAAAAATATTATTAACTTTATAATTAAACCACTCACATATTTACTCAATTTATCTTTCGAATCTAAGCAATTTGCCGACATCTTAAAAACTGCAAAAGTTATACATATCTACCTATAACAAAAACAATGTTAATAAAGTAAACCATAGACCCATTACATTAACATCTGTTTTTTCTAAAATATTTTAATATGCCTTTATAGTCTTTTAAGTATTTTAAATGAAAATAATATTTTAAACAAAACCAACATGGTTTTTGGTGTAATTACTCTACATCTACAGCAATCAATGTATTTTATAATGAAGTTGTTAAGTATTTGGATAAGGGCTAATACCCGAGTGAAATCTTTTGCAATTTGAGCTGGGCATTCGACTACATCGACCACGGTCTGCTTTTATCAAAACTTTATATTATCGGACTCAATTTGTCTCTGTTCAATAGGTTGGCCTTAGATCGGGAAGTTCTTCAAGTAACAATTGTAGGTCCACTTTTTTGTATGAACTGTTATAAAAATTAGATTTGTTAACATGGGTTTGTAGTTTGTTAATTTTATTTTGTAAAATTTTAAAATAATTTTTTGTAGAGAACAGAGTTTGTAATTATTTTAACAAAGGAAAATATTTCCAAATGTTTTGCAAAGGTAATATAAGGTAAGCATTTTGTTAATTTCAAAGGTTACAGATTGGTTAATGTTTAACAAATTATTTCGTTGAAAAAGTACACGTGATTTCAGGCAGTCAATAAAAACATTTACCACTGACAATACGCATCAACAAGTTAAACTCACTACAGCGTAGGTACTTATGATTCGGCTTACTTTATTCTAATTCGTAACGTGTTCGTAACAACTGTCTAGAGTGTTTGTAATATACATATTGTTATTCGGATTCCTTATACCTATTTAACGAGTGTGCGAAGTATCCGAAAAAAGATGCCATTACTGGTTTTCAAAACTGAAATTAGGCGATGCATTGAAGTGGGTACTGATAATTATATTGTGCCAAATTTCTTTACAAATTGATGATTTCAGAATGGTGTGTAATTTAATTGTGTGTTATTTTTGTGTTCATTTATGAAGGTATATGTTAATTTTTTGTTTGGAAAATTGATTAATAAATCAACATTTCTATGCGATACAGTGAAGTGGGTTACGAAATACATCAGTAAGTGTTGTAGTAGTACTGATATTGTAACCAATTTCTTTATAATTTGATGATTTCAGAATTGTGTTATTTAATTGTGTGTATGTTATTTTTGTGTTACCACAGTTTGGTAGACACGACGCGGAATCCCCCTAGACCCCAGTAATACCAAAAGCCTTTGGGGGCCATACTTGCGGCTGGGTGTTGTTATTTCTCTGTTGGGGCCTAACGTTTATTTGTAGTGAAGGTACTGCTTTCTGTTTTTCTGTGTCCGTACTCTCTTCGCCTTCCACGTCAGATACTTTCTTTTGTGTTTTTTTCTAATAAACCGCTTTTATTTTTTATTTATTATATTTTAATGATAATACAGTTTATGTTTGAAAAAATAAGTTATTTTAGTTAGTACGTATAAAATATCAATATTAACACGTAAAAAAGTTTGTTTTTTTTATTTTTAACTCAAAATAGAGATGTACAAACTCTTATTAAAGAATTATTATTATATAAATGGGGTATGCCAAGACCTCTTCCACTATGTCACAAATTAGCCACCTCATCAGTTAAGGGCTAGATGTAGAGTTTCTACATTATAATAAAATATTTTAGTATATATTAAAAGGCCAAGCATTTCAGAGTGCCTTAAGATTGACAACATTAGCTTTAGGTGTAAGAAACAAAAAAATCAGATTTAGGCTATTGAGTAGTTTTACATTTAAAATACTGTTGTAAAGCTATTAACAAGTAGGTATTTAAATAAAACATTATTTTATTATGTTATAGCTCTTTCATTATCTACATACTGAGTTAAAGCAAGCAAATACGTAAGTCGTTCATCCCTTATATTAATTTTAAAGGAATTTTCCAACTCTTGAACCGATGTTTCGTTCCTAACAACTCAAAATAGAGATGTACAAACTCTTATTAAAGAATTATTATTTTATAAATGGGGTATGCCAAGACCTCTTCCACTATGTCACAAATTAGCCACCTCATCAGTTAAGGGCTAGATGTAGAGTTTCTACATTATAATAAAATATTTTAGTATATATTAAAAGGCCAAGCATTTCAGAGTGCCTTAAGATTGACAACATTAGCTTTAGGTGTAAAAAACAAAAAAATCAGATTTAGGCTATTGAGTAGTTTTACATTTAAAATACTGTTGTAAAGCTATTAACAAGTAGGTATTTAAATAAAACATTATTTTATTATGTTATAGCTCTTTCATTATCTACATACTGAGTTAAAGCAAGCAAATACGTAAGTCGTTCATCCCTTATATTAATTTTAAAGGAATTTTCCAACTCTTGAACCGATGTTTCGTTCCTAACATCAAAGGATTTAAAGCTTTCATTTATTTTCTTAACTGCATTCGAGAAAAAAGTCCAAAATTGTAATCCATTTTTTAGCACACGTGATAACGATGGTTGAATTGCTGTACCATGGATTAATGGCGAGCCAATGTCAAAATCCAAAGGTATAGTTGATCTTTCAAGTTCTGATAACTTATTTTTTAGCTCATGATTAGCAGTATTTAGGGCTTCACTAAAAATATAAAAACGTTAAATTTACAGTTACATTAAATTAGCCTCTAATTTAGAGGCTAATTTAATGTTAATGAATCAGTCCACATGAAAACGTCCAATCGGTGTTCTGCATAGTTTTAGATTTTGATAAAATTAAGGATGTTTTAGGTATAAAATATTAAATCAAATTTTCATACACCTTTTTGTTAAGCTACAACTTTGTTATTATAAAACTAGGATTGTAATTTGATTTACTGACCAAGTGTGTTTTTATTATTTATTGTTAAAACATATTTTGTACATTTGATGGACCAATATAAATTCGTTATAATTTTGCTAATTTGGCGATTTTTAGATTTTAGATTTAGATATTTTTTTTGGAATTATAATTTCTTATAAGTAATAATATAATAGAATATGTAAACTTGTTTTAATTTCTTGAATTTTTAAATTCTTAGAGACCTTTAGAAATTTAGATAACCTTAGGTAGGTAGAGGAAAAAAATTAAATTTGATTTTTTTTGGGAAATGTAACCTTTATCTTTTTGGTATAGTTAAAATATATTAAAAAAATGCATTATAGCCCTGCTGAAAATGACGAATAATTTCGGATATAAATTCTTCAGATGATTGCGGATATAAATTCTTCGTCGAAGCCGGATAAAAGCCGATAAAAGCGAGTAAAAATATCATCTGATAACATCTGCTTTTGTCCGCATCGCTATATCCGCGAAACCCGGTTGGTTATGAAATCATCTGTAATGATCTGCTTTTAACCGTCTCCACTGGGATCATCTGCAAACGTCTGATTACCTCACAATCATCTGTTTTTGACCGGCTCTACTGCATTTGTCCGGGTTCATCTGGTTTTATCCACCTGCATTTTTTCGTCTGGTTTCATCCGCAAACGTCTACTTACATCCGCGAACGTCTTCTTTCATCCGGTTTCACCCCCCAACATCTGCTTTTATCCGTGAACGTCTGCTTTCATCAACGAACGCTGTTCTATTTCACTCGTAACCCTGTTAAAAATCACCCATAGAGACCAATAGAAACCAATAAAAAATCAGAATGGAATGAATTGGTCTTTATTGGGCCTATTGGTTTCTCAACAGAATGAGCATTGGTTTCTATTGGTAATTTCCGTACTGGAAAATGCCAATAGATTACCTAATGGTCTGAATTGGTTTTTATAAGAAGTTACAAGTACAGGAAATTCCCAATTGAAATTCAATTGGTAAATACCACTTAAATGTTCAGCGCCTGCGCAATTTAATACAAATGACCACTTGTTTCTATTGGCAATTTTCTTACTGGAAAATACCAATAGATAAACTAATGGTCTGAATTGGTATTTTATCGGTGTGTAGGTACAAGGAACCCTATTGGTATATACCACTTTAATATTTATTTTCAAAATTCGCCAATAGGTAGGCAACCCATGCATACCTCTCGCCTCTGTAGCACGATACATAGGCCTATAAAGGTGGAAAGCCTTGAGCTACTAAGTAAGGGTTCCTTACTAAGGCAAAATTACTGGCCATGGAAACGCCTGGCGTTTTGGAATTTTTAAAGGGACACAGGTCGTCCTGTGGCCCACTCTGCGAAAAGTAAGCAGTGGGCCCCACTACTTAGTTTTAGCAGAAGCTATTTATAAAATTTAAATTAAATGTTAAACAGCACTATTTTTGAGAAATTATTTAACCATCAAAACACGTAATTTTTTACCTTAAAGACGTCTAAAATGGATAGTGGGGACCAATTCAAACCAATAGCGGTACCTCTGGAAAATCCAAATAGCTCTATTGGGAATTACCAATAAAATATATCTATAATATATCTATTGGGAATTACCAATAAAATACGATTAGTCTCTATCGGTCTGTATTGGGATTTTCCAGCGGTGTCGCTATTGGTTTGAATTGGTAATTCATGGTACAGATACCACTATTGAGACCAATTCAAACCAATAGAGCTGCCGCTGGAAAATCCCAATAGCTTTTCTATTGGTCTTTATGGGTGATTTTTAACAGGGAAACATCTTGTCAGATCTGTGCGGATAAAGTAGATGTTGGCGGATGAATGCAGACGTATGCAGGTGAAACTGGGGGAAAGCAGATGTTTGCAGATAAAATCATATGTTTGCGGATAAATGCAGATGTTTGCGGATAAAAGCAGATGTTTGCTGATTAAAACAGATGTTCGCTGATAAAAGCAGACGTTTACAAATAAAAACAGATCATCTTCGCGGATAAGAGCAGATTTTTGAAGGTGAAATCGGATGAAGCAGACTTTTGCAGATTAAATTAGATGTTTACGGATGAATGCAGACGTTCGCGGATGAAAGCAGATGTTTGCAGGTAAAACCGGACGAAAGCAGATGTTTGCGGATAAAAGCAGGTGTTTGCGGATAAAAGCAGATGTTTGTCGCAGATAAAAAAAGATGTTTGCAGGTAAAACATGAGGAAAGCAGATGTTTGCAGGCGCGTGCTGACCCACCGGGGGACCGGTGAAACTTTTGGGTGTAAAGCATAGTACCTAATAAAGTGCATTTTTTATTACTTTAGGTAAGTAAACCTTAAACTCCATTATAACCCAAAAACATGGTTGTGCATCTTTACTGTACAAAAACTTGTCCGCTGAGAAGTTTAGACTACGCTTGCCAGATGCGCTAATGTATGTCCAGCTTGTTACCCAAATAACAAAAAATATGTTAATTCTCTAAGCACCAAGTTTTGAAATTTTTATATATATATTATATATATATTTATAAATTTATTTTACTTTATAGAATAATTATTATAAAATTAGGAATAGAATAGTTAGATACCTAAGTTCATTGATTTTAAGTTGTGTTTTGAATATTTGCGTTTATATATTTTTTAACTTTGACAAATAAAATAATAATTACAAAAATGTAGTTTTATTATGTTTTATTATGTTTTATTATTCCTCTTTTTACTTTCACTAAAAAAATATTAGAATTATTTATCTAATGGAAGTAAAAAAAGGATCAGTACTATCCATTAAAAAAATTTAAACAATAATTTGAATATCTATTTTTGACTACACCCGCTGGAGGGCGCAGTAATCACAGAACAAACTTTAATACTAAGTTGCCCCCCACCCAACCTATCCCTTGTCTATGACCCCCAAAAATACATTAATGAAAGCCTATGAATAGAAATTATTGACACTGATTACCATTTTTTTCTCTCAAGCCAAGCATTCAAAAAATATCTTTTAGAGGGGTAAAAATAACAGAACAAGATGAAGTGGCTAAAAGAGATAAAGGTAGGGACTAAAAAAATTAATTTGAATTATTTCATCCTCGGTGAAGGCTCCACCTAGGTAGGTTATAAAAAAATCATTAGTCCATCGTTCATTTTTGAAATGTAAAATAAATAATGAAAACACACTTACTATTCAGTAAAATTAAAATAAAAACATCTAAATTTTTATACTAGAAAAAAGTTGTAGCCCAACAAAAAGAGGTATGAAAATGACACAATTTCAGATTTAAGATTGGTATATCTCGAAAGTAAAAAATCCAAAGAATGTCAATGGGGGTAGTTTTTCGTCTATGGTACCTAAAAGATCCTTCTCAATTTTTTTATCATAATCTAAAATCATGCAGCACACCGATTGGACTTGGAATGGAATGACTCCAATACTTTAATCGAATAGAAAAACAGATTACCAGAAAACAAACCTTATTATTACAGGTAGACACTGTATACTAGACATCCTTGCATATTATTAAATATCTTTAATATAAAATGCTATACTAGAACAAGGCTACCAATAAATTAAATGCTGTATTATCGCGGAACATAGTTTTATGTGTTTGTATCTATAATATTTTTTATGTACCGTGGTAAAGGTAAGACAGATTTTATTCATTACTTCTTTCGGCCTTGAAAAATGTCACTTTACCGCCTAGGTTTTCAATATACTATTATTTAAAAACAACACGACAACCCGTTCTTTTTAATATTTTACAAAACATATTTATAGCACTTAGAACATTGTTCTAGCATAGGATTCAATTCCCTGCTTAAAATACCTCATAGAGACCCATAAAAATAATCTATCGGGCGCTAACGGACTCAATATGTGCATTTGTATATGGTTTTTTCCGGATACGGCCCGATAGAAAATGTATAGGAAATTACCTATAGGCACACCATAACTTACAGAAAGCACCGAAAGCAAATAACTCAAGAAAGAATATATAGGGATATCCCTATAGAGCAACCATAAAACATTTGACAACATTTTGTTAAAACCTATGGGGTCCTATGGAAGAAAAACTAATTTCTACCTTTATGTTTATTTTCCCAATTGAGACCGATAGCAAATAAATCAAGGAAGAATATCCCTATAGAACAACCATAAATCGCAACTATGGGTCCCATACATATCTATACACCCTATAGAAACACCATACAATCTGATACAAAAATCTATCGGTTTGAACAGGTTCTCTATGTGACATTTTAACCAGGGCTTTATATCATTATATCTAAACGTATTGCGCATTGAAATGCTGGTTGCCTATTATAGAAACAGTTGTTAATTTCCCAAACAGGGTTGCCAGGTGTGGCAATTAATCGCCAATTGGCCCACTTTAAAGTGGCGCTTTCTATGCATAATACGGCTTTAGCAATATATGTTTGGGCTATAATGCACTTTTTAAATATTTTTACAGTTTTGTCACTTCTCTTCAAGTCAAAACAATATGAATTCAGATATATATACTATCATTGTTTTTCTTCCAAGATATATTCATTTATCTCTTAGAGGGGTAAAAATAAAACAGTTGTTAATTTCCCAAACAGGGTTGCCAGGTGTGGCAATTAATCGCCAAAGTGGCGCTTTCTATGCATAATATGGCTTTAGTAATGTTTGGGCTATAATGCACTTTTTAAATATTTTTACAGTTTTGACACTTCTCTTCAAGTCAAAACAATATGAATTCAGATGTATAGTTGAATTTTTAAGTCATGAGCCCTACGGC